CAGGTTTATTAAAGAAGCTTATAAATCATACGGTTACAATGGCTATTGCTCTATTTCTTAACTGCTAGCAAATATAGATCTTAAAAATGGTTACAAAGAAAATAAAGAAAGAAAATAGAAATAATGGTACCAAGTGACAGCTTAATCTTTAAAGAGCTCTAAGTCTATGTGTACACTTAAGACAAAGGACACATCCAGGTACAATTTTTACCCCTTTCTGTGCCTCTCGACTCCAGCGGGTCAGGCCAGGGCTGGTCCCTCAATTCCTAGGAAAGACGAATACGAGGTGGGCGTCCCCGTGGAACCTCGGGAGGCCAATCACCTAACCCAACCAGCAGATAGATGGTAGATTGACAATCAGAGTAAATGTGCTGCTGGACCCATCTTTATACCCCTGGGGGCTCGTATCCTCTTTCTTATCTTAAGATGCCAAATTGTACTGGTCCGTTTTGTGGCGCCAGTTCTTACAAGCAAGTTTCAAGGTAATTTACACTTGCAAGAGAGATAACTAAATTGTGAGTACTAGACATTTTTTTACTGGGTGAGAGATTCTTCCCCCCGTGGATGGCTGTGTGTTTGTATCAATATGGGTTTGAGTCAAGGGCACTCCTCGGCAGCCTCTTAGTCAGCAATTGGCGTATCTCTGTTTACAGCTATTCACGGTCACAGCAGCCTGGGCCTTTTGTTCTGTGTGCCCTGCATGCTCCAGGCAAGCAAAAATGGAAGTTACAAGGGGGGGTTCCTGTCTGGCTACAAGTCTCCAGTATGACTTTTTATCTAGCCAAGGGATCTGGGGAGATTCCCGTTTGGAAGATACACTGCAATTCCCATGCCCTGCCAACAGCTTATGAAACATTTTACTGGCACACAAAACCCGAGGCTTCTCTTCCTGATACAGTCTCAGATATCCGGCTGTTGCAATAGACACTCACCAGACATTCCTTTTATGCTTCCTGACTTGTAATCCTGTAAACCCCCCTTTCTCTCTCTAGTCAATAAATGAGGTCTCTTTTGTAACTAAACCCGCATGGGTTTGTGTTGAAATATCCAGAAACATCTATGTGAGCACCAGGTTTGTGTATATCATTTTCAATGCAATAAAAATACAGACTTTATATGAGCCGGAGTTGTTCACGAGAATGCTGGACAGTATTGGACACACATTCCATTCAGCACTACCAGGCCTTGTGACCTAGTGGTTAGTGCCCTGTGATTCTCTTCTCCATGAATCTGCCAGACCTAGAGCCGAGAGGCTTTCGTGGGAGTTATTTGCACAGGTGTTAAAGGATTTCCCCCACTTTGAGAGGAACAGTTTTAGGAGCAGAATCCAAATCTTACGTACAAAGGGCTGGTGCTCCTGTTGTAGTTCGGTCTGATTCTGAGCTAGGCTAAAGCAGTGGGCCTCTAGGTTAACTCTAAGAACATGAGAATGGCCGTACTGGGTCAGGCCAATGCTCCATCCAGCACAGTATCCTGTCTGCTGCTAGTGGCCAATACCAGATGCGCCAGAGGAAGGGAACAGAGCAGGTAATCCTCACATGATCCCTCCCTGTCACCCACTTCCAGAGCCTGCGACACCATTCCCACCCGTCCTGTCTAATAGCCATTGATGGCCTTATCTCCCTGAATCTATTTAGCTCTTTTTTGAACCCAGTTAAGGAACTAGCCTCCACCACATCCTCTGGCAAGGAGTTCAACAGATTGACTGTGCACCGAGTGAAAAAATTCTACTGAAATTATAGGGGATTATAATATATTGGTACATAGTATAATAAATTGGTGAGAAACTAGGCAAAGCGTCTGGCTGGTGGTATCCAGAGCAATTCTGGGAAATGACTTCAAGAGACATTTGGAGGAGTGACCAGCCAACACATTGGAATAGGTTCACCTCATTATGGGGTCATATTTGTTTATGTATGTATCTATTTAAAGTATTTTTACCCCACTTCTTTATTTCAAATATGCGACATGGCTTACAAAACATTTTAAAAACACAATAAATAAATATCTATAAAGTAAAATATAGGACCCTAAAGGGGGGGGGGGAGATAGAACCTGCTAAAACACCTCAAGAGGAGGGACACGCACACCCCTAAACACCAATAAAAGCACAGGTAAAAAGATCTCATGGAGCATACAACACCCCAGACCAGCGGATGCTCTTGACCTCTCGATTCCATGCCCACAAAGACAGCCATGGCAAAGGGCTCTTCACGGCCTTTGTCTTGGGAGCAAAGAGGCTCTGGGGAGCAAATCTCAAAGCCCTCAGTGCTATATGTAAGCTCTGCTGCCCCAAGAAGTGGCTCCCGAGGTGTGAAAGGGGAACATTGACGTGCTTAGCAAACAGGGAGCGAGTTGTTCTGGTTTGAGGGTTCTAGCCAGGTTCTGCTGCTGTCCTTCTCCACTCATTGCAAGTGCAGGCAGGAAGAACAATGAGGAACCAGCTGTGCTCAGAAATCACCCCTGTGGGGTTCTAACAGGTGTCTTGCTCTGTCAAATGTTGCACCATTCATCATGCCGTGGCAAAGTGCTTTTGCGGAAAAGCATCCTGCCAATCTAGACGCACTTTTCTGAAAATGCTTTTAACGGAAAACGTTTCCATTAAAAGCATTTTCGGAAAACCATGCCAGCGTGGACGTAGCCTGGGTGTGGAAGGATCCTAGATGCCATTTCTTGGTCACCTGGAACCAGGTTTCTTATCTATCCCCTTTTGTAGCTACTAGGAGTTGAGGGGCCCCATGGTCCCAACCACTGCTCTGGATCCCGGCCCATGGACACCAGAAGCAGCAGTTGCCTGCTAAGTGTCCTCACTGCCCATTGCTGCTCACTCCCTGGGCAACTCCTCCAAGAAGCTGCCCTCTCCTTTCCCTCTTCCCGGGCTTTGAGATAAATTCCTCACTGCACCCTGTGCAGGGTTCTACAAATCGCCATAGCCCAGCACGGCCGGTCTTCAACCACTGGACCTGGGCGTCAGCTGATCTTTAAACCAGCCCCCGCTCAGAGCTGTCCGAGGTACCACTCCCTTCCCAGACAGTCCCTGGGCCTGCCTGGCTTGAGCTCCAGAGAGGAACTGCCAGGCCTTTGCCCAGCAGCTTCTTTATACAAGGTTTGCTGGGTCCTGATTGGCTGCAGTAAAAGCAGCCACTCTAGCTTGCTTGGAGGACCTCACCTCTACTTTTATTTCCTAGGGTGTGGAGTGGCAACTTTGATTTCTTTCAGGGGGAGGGATAGCTTGGTGGTTTGCGCTTTGGTCTGCTAAACTCAAGTTTGTGAGTTCAATCCCCTGGGCCTGCCTGGCTTGAGCTCCAGAGAGGAACTGCCAGGCCTTTGCCCAGCAGCTTCTTTATACAAGGTTTGCTGGGTCCTGATTGGCTGCAGTAAAAGCAGCCACTCTAGCTTGCCTGGAGGACCTCGCCTCTACTTTTATTTCCTATTGTGGGGAGTGGCAACTTTGCTTTCACCAAGGGGGGAGAATAGCTTGGTGGTTTGCGCTTTGGTCCCCTAAACCCAGGGTTGTGAGTTCAATCCTTAAGAAGGCCATTTAGAAATCTAGAGCATAAACCTCCAGCAGGGGGCTTTGGACATAGTCCACCACATATCAGGGCACATGCTGCCCTCAATCCCCACCCTTATGTGTAGCTTCCCCTGGTCCTCCCTCCTGCCAGGATGGAAGCAAGGCCAACCATGTCTGGAAAGGGGCCTTTGTTGCTAAACTCAGGCTGGCTGGAAATTTTTCTCGAAAAAGCTTTTGTTTTAAAGTGGGAAATTGGATTTTTATTCCAATTACATCATGCAATTGTTTTGCATCCAAAAAGCAAATTCTCCTTCTCGCTCAACTGCCCCAGGGCACTTCCACACAAGGGCAGAGCATAAGGCATGAGAGGGGGAAGGAGTCCAGCCTAGGAGACAGGTCCATGGCAGAGAAATGTGAGAGGTGGTACCGGGGCATCTCTGTATGTTTTATTTCTGAGCTGAAATGTTTTCAGTTGAAAGATGTGGGTCTCCACAAACACACCCTTTCTGGGTCAGCTCTACACAGGACCCATCTTGCAGTGACAAGAGCAGAATGAAATATCCCTCAGGCTTCAACTCTGCAACGCTGACAGAAATTGCATCATTTACTGACACAGGGGGAAAGAAGGCAACAAATTAATCCCCAGGGTATCAGTTCCATGGTTGAGATTCACTGAACTTGTTAATTTGTTGTTGTGTATCTCTGCGCTCAGATATTCCCAGTGGCTCTAGGGATCTTGCCCGATAGATCAGAGATCTCAGTATAAAACTTCCCAATTGCACGAAGTATCAGTTTCTGTCGATGAAGAAACACCGCCACGTCTCTCTGCTCTCCCCAGGTACGTGCTGTTGTTCTGCATCAAAGTCACACACCCACACGGACACCATGGTGATTGGGAGGCACTGAACTGAAGTCCTGGCTCCTACTCCTTGAGCTAAAGAATAAGAAATTTGGTTGGAATTTTAGGCATGGAAGCCATTGGCTTCCTTTACGTCCCAAGGGTTTCATATGGACTAATATAAATGGCGTTATCAGACGCCAAAGAGCTTAATTATATCAGTGAGCAACTTTCACCCCAAAATAACTTGCCGAGCCACAGAGCTCCCCTTTGTCAATAAAAGTAAGAGAGATTGACACTCGTTTACTATTATCCCTTTCTGATCTAAGCAAGTCCCTCTTTGCTGCTCGGATCAATTCTCAGCAGTGTTTGTGTGGGGGGGGATGATTAACCTGAGAGTCCCTGTATGGTTGCAGTGTGTGAAATTGATCAAACAAATGTAATGAACAGCTGCGAATACCTAGCTCTGTGGATGAAGCCCTTCCCTGATCTAGTACTAGTATTTATTAAGAAACTGACCTCCATTTTTCATCACTTACATTATTACAGCGCATTTTTCATCACTTACATATTACAGCGAAGAGACAGGTTCCCCAAGCCATTCACCTGCCCACATCCCTGTAGCTGCCTGATCTCAGCTCAGAGGAGATGGAAGAGGGAAATCACTCGGAGGTGACTGAGTTCTTTCTCTCAGGACTGACAGATCGTCCGGAGCTGCAGGTCCCCCTGTTTGTGTTGTTCCTACTGATTTATATTATCACTGTCATAGGAAATGGAGGGATGATCTTGTTAATTACAATTGACCCCCGACTCCAAACCCCCATGTACTTTTTCCTCCGGAATTTGTCTTTCTGTGATCTCTGCTGTTCCTCAGTCATTACCCCTAAGATGCTACAGATTTTCTTAGCTGAGCGGAAAAGCATTTCTCGCACTGCCTGTGCTGTGCAAATGTATTTCTTTGTTCATTGTGTAGATATGGAGTGTCTCTTGCTAGCTGTGATGGCATATGACCGTTATGTGGCCATTTGTAACCCGCTGCTGTACACGGTCATCATGTCCCGACAGCGCTGTAACCTGCTGGTGGCTGGGGTGTGCGCTGTGGGGTTGGTGGATTCACTCTTACAGACGTGCTGTATATTCCGGCTGTCATTCTGCCTCTCCAATCTTATCAGGCATTTCTACTGTGACGTCCCCCCAATGCTGGAGCTCTCCTGCTCTGACACCCACACCATTGAGATTGTGATGTTTGCCTCCACCTGCTACATTACACTGAGCACCATTCTGATTGTCCTCCTGTCCTATGTCTGTATCTTCTCCACCATTCTGCGCATCCGCTCAGCCGAGGGCCGGTGCAAAGCCTTCTCCACCTGCGCTTCCCACTTGTGCGCCGTGGGCATGTTTCATGGCACCCAACTCTTCATGTATTTCCGGCCCCCCTCCAGCTATTCCATGGACACCGACAAAATAGCCTCCGTGTTCTACACAGTGGTGGTCTCCATGTTGAACCCCCTCATCTACAGCCTGAGGAACAGGGAGGTGAAGGACGCCCTGAGGAAAGCCATCAACAAACTCCTAACCCAGTCTTGATTGAGTTCATCTCAGTGCTGACTGAGTGATGGGCAGTGGAAACAGGGCAATTCAGTTCTCACCCCATAGTGATGTCATTTGACACATCCCGTGGTGGTACTTTAGATTATTATCTTGTTGTTATTATACATGTGTCGGTATTCCCACAAGGGCTGCAGGTACCTACTGAGATCAGGGGTTCTTTCACACATTGCCTCTCTGCGCACATAAAATTATATTTGATGTGCTTTGAAAACAGGGAGCTAATTGTATTAGGAAAGGAGGGGGCATCAAATCTAGCTCCCTCTTCTTTCCAGTGGTGATGATTGAATTGGCCAGTTCCAAAAGTGACGTGTGTATTTTCTGTGGGTGATCAAAAGGGAGTTTTGGCACCGTCCTGCTACTCTGCAGCCCTTTCTGTGCTCTGTGGGGTTCCTGTACCTACTGTTACCTGCTTTGTGTCCAGGCATGAGGAGAGAGGTGATTTCCATCACACCGTACTAGGGCAATGGGACAGTTATGTCACTGATGTGTTGAGCTTTGCATTTTTAAGCCCTTTCTGTAATTTGGTACCCGTGGGCTAAGGGAGTGGAGTGTCCACTGTTCTAGACATGGGGCTCTTGGCGTTTCTAAGTAATATTACAGATCTGATATGATATGTTTGCAACTTTATTTTTACTTTCCATCATCAATGAGGTAATTCCTTGAAGACTGGACAATTGTTTGAAATAAGAAAATCTGCCAGTCTGGACAATATGTAGTTGCTTTTCTCAGTAAAACTTTTCACAGGGAGAAGTTTGAAAAGTATTCATGAATTCAGGGTGCCAATGGACAGGTATGAAAATGTGGCTCTTAAATTCTCTCTGCCTCCCTTTTCCCCATCTCCGAGTGGGAGGAACCAGATGGGTCTGTCTTATTTCAGGCTGCCTAAATGTCTATGTATGTTTCTATGGCCCTCATGAATGTAATGCCTCTGAGCACCTTGCAGGTTTGATTGCCTATATCATCACCATTTCCATGTCAGGCAGTGCAGTGTGATGTGCATGTCACAGAGCAAGAGCTGAGCTCAGAGAAGGAAAATGTCTTTGCTTCATCTTTGCAGAAGAGATCTGCAGTTGAGTCAGGAACTAACCCCAAATTGCAAATTGGCTTCCTAGAAGATCTTTCCTTCTCACAGTAATAGATGAACAGGGATGTCAAGTTGATATGCAACAGATTGGGAATCCAACCCCTTTTTCTATACAATACTGCACTATTCTCCTGATGAACCATGTGTTCATGACAAATGAGTTGAGAGTGTCTTCCGTAGTCTTGTCAGCCGACGGTCAGAGCAGTGTGTGTGTGTGTGTGACACCCAAGTCTTTAACTGCTAAGACACGAAGTCTTGTCGCAGCGGGCAGCCAGGAGGTTGAAGGGAGCCCCCGAGAGTTTAACGTCTGTGACTTTACTGCTAGGACCGAGGTCCCGTCTGTTATCATTTCTTATGTCTGTTTTATGTCCATTAATACTTTGTTGTAGAAAGTGTTCAGTTTAGCCAATATACGTGGCAGAGGAGCATTGGTGGCACTTGATGGCATATATCGCATTAGAGGATGTGCAGTAGTATGAGTCTCTGATGTGATGGCTTATGTGATTAGGTCCTGTGATGGTGTTGCTAGTATAGATGTATGGACAGAGTTGGCAATAGAGTTTATTGCAGGGATAGGTTCCAGGGTGAGTGTGTCTAAAGTGTGATATGTGGCTGCTGGAAAGAATTTGCTTCAGGTTAGGGGGTTGTCTGTAGGACTGGCCTGTCTCCCAAGGTTTGTGGGAGTGCTTTATTTTGTTTTAATGCTGCTGCCTATTTATTTCATTGAGTGACCCTAGGTTATTGTGTTATGAGGAGTAAATAACACTTCCTTATTCACATTTTTCACATAATTGACGACTTTATAGACATCTATCCTATCTCCTCTCTTTTGTCAAACTGTCTCTTTTCCCAAACTGACAAGTCTCTCCTCATAAGTAAACAATTCCATACCATTTTTGTTGCACTTTCTGTACCATTTCTAATTCTAGCATATCTTTTTTGAGTTGGGGTGACCATATCCATATGCAGCATTCAAGATGTGGGTGCAACATGGATTTATATAGCAGTTATATGATATTTTCTATCTTATTCTCCATCTCTTTCCCAATAATTCCAAACATCCTGTTTGCTTTTTTTGACTGATGCTGCAATTTGGAGCCTCTGGTTGTTTAAGTCCTTAAGGTAGATGACTCAGTCTGTTTGTTGAAGGCTGCAAAATAACTGAATCTGCAAAGCCAATTCCACAGGACTAGTGGCCCAGCCTGTGAGAGGATCCATCTTCCCCTGGATGGCTGTGTGTTTGTATCAATATGGGTTTGAGTCAAGGGCACTCCTCGGCAGCCTCTTAGTCAGCAATTGGCGTATCTCTGTTTACAGCTATTCACGGTCACAGCAGCCTGGGCCTTTTGTTCTGTGTGCCCTGCATGCTCTAGGCAAGCAAAAATGGATGTTACAAAGGGGGTTCCTGTCTGGCTACAAGTCTCCAGTATGACTTTTTATCTAGCCAAGGGATCTGGGGAGATTGGAAGATACACTGCAGTTCCCATGCCCTGCCAACAGCGTATGAGACATTTTACTGGCACACAAAACCAGAAGCTTCTCTTCCTGATACAGTCTCAGATATCCGGCTGTTGCAATAGACACTCACCAGACATTCCTTTTATGCTTCCTGACTTGTAATCCTGTAAACCCCCCTTTCTCTCTCTAGTTAATAAATGAGGTCTCTTTTGTAACTAAACCCGCATGGGTTTGTGTTGAAATATCCAGAAACATCTATGTGAGCACCAGGTTTGTGTATGTCATTTTCAATGCAATAAAAAGACAGACTTTATATGAGCCGGAGTTATTCACGAGGATGCTGGACAGTATTGGACACACATTCCATTCAGCACTACCAGGCTTTGTGACCTAGTGGCTAGTGTCCTGTGATTCTCTTCTTCATGAATCTGCCAGAGCTAGAGCCGAGAGGCTTCGGTGGGAGTTATTTGCACAGGTGTTAAAGGATTTCCCCCACTTTGAGAGGAACAGTTTTGGGAGCAGAATCCAAATCTTACATACAACGGGCTGGTGCCCAGTTGTAGTTCGGTCTGATTCTGAGCTAGGCTACAGCAGTGGGCCTCTGGGTTAACTCTAAGAACATGAGAATGGACATACTGGGTCAGGCCAATGCTCCATCCAGCACAGTATCCTGTCTGTCGACAGTGGCCAATACCAGATGCGCCAGAGGAAGGGAACAGAGCAGGTAATCCTCACATGATCTCTCCCTGTCACCCACTTCCAGAGCCTGGGACACCATTCCCACCCGTCCTGCCTAATAGCCATTGATGGGCCTAATCTCCCTGAATCTATCTAGCTCTTTTTTGAACCCAGTTAAGGAACTAGCCTCCACCACATCCTCTGGCAAGGAGTTCAACAGATTGACTGTGCACCGAGTGAAAAAATTCTACTGAAATTATAGGGGATTATAATATATTGGTACATAGTATAATAAATTGGTGAGAAACTAGGCAAAGCGTCTGGCTGGTGGTATCCAGAGCAATTCTGGGAAATGACTTCAAGAGACATTTGGAGGAGTGACCAGCCAATACATTGGAATAGGTTCACCTCATTTTGGGGTCATATTTATTTATGTATGTATCTATTTAAAGTATTTTTACCCTGCTTCTCTATTTCAAATATGCGATGTGGCTTACAAAACATTTTAAAAACAAAATAAATAAATATCTATAAAGTAAAATATAGGACCCTAAAGGGGGGAGATAGAACCTGCTAAAACACCTCAAGAGGAGGGACATGCACACCCCTAAACACCAATAAAAGCACAGGTAAAAAGATATCATGGGGCATACAACACCCCAGACCAGTGGATGCTCTTGACCTCTGGATTCCATGCCCACAAAGACAGCCGTGGCAAAGGGCGCTTCACGGCCTTTGTCCAGGGAGCAAAGAGGCTCTGGGGAGCAAATCTCAAAGCCGTCAGAGCTAGATGTAAGCTCTGCTGCCCCAAGAAGTGGCTCCCGAGGTGTGAAAGGGGAACATTGACGTGCTTAGCAAACAGGGAGTGAGTTGATCTGGTTGGAGGGTTCTAGCCAGGTTCTGCTGCTGTCCTTCTCCACTCATTGCAAGTGCAGGAAGGAAGAACAATGAGATACCAGCTGTGCTCAGATGTCACCCCTGTGGGGTCCTGACAGGTGTTTTGCTCTGTCAAATGTTGCACCATTCGGCTACACGTGTCGGCTCCCTCTGTGCACCGTCCTGTTCTGTGCAGAAAGCCAGCACTCTGAGGGTATGTCTAAGTTGCATTCCTCTTTGGAGAGGCATGCAAATGTAGACATCCAAAATTGCAAATGAAGCGGAGATTTAAATATCCCATTCGTATAATCATGGACGGCCGCTATTTCGAAAGAAAAGATGCTGTTTACACGCGGTTATTTCGAGAGAAAACCCTTCTTCCAAAAGAACCCTTAAACCTCAGAGGCAAACAGATCGTGTCAGCCTTTAACTGAGGCAGAAAGGAAGGAATCGTGGGACGGACAGGAAGGAATCACCCTAAGGAGAAATTTCCACTTGTCTCCACATATTCACCGTTCTCTAGCCCAGTGTGAGGTTCTTCAATGTAGGGGAAGCCTTGTGGCTTTTTACATGACTCTGGGAGACTAGGCCTGAGATGCCGTTGCGTGCTCTGCGCTGTGTGTCAGGGTGGGGGCACCTCAGAGCAGCCCCCACTAAGACAAAACAAAAGGAACAGGTTTTATTCTGGAAGGAACACAGAGCAGGATTCAAATCCATCACCCTCCTCTCTGCTTGCTGAAGCATAGTGAGCTTTGGGCTACAATAGGAAGGAAAGAGCTTTAGCAAGGGAGGGAGAGGAGTGGTGGGAAAGTGGGGGAAAGTGGCTTTAAGGGGCAGGGGAAAACTCCCGCATTGATTCAGGGAATATCCATAGTAAAGT